TACCAGTTAACATATCAATTAAGTGTGGACCCTTACCAGCAAAAAGTGAAGACACTTAACATATCAGCCAAAAAATCAAATAAATTTTGTTGCTTAGAGTGTGGACCCTTGACATAAGAAACAATCTGCCACTATCTTATAACAAACACACTATAAGGAATGTACCAAGAAAAACCAAACCATATCATAAGACTCAAAGCATAAAACAAACACATAAGATATGTACAGAGACAAAAAAACAAAGTTCCACCATCTAGAGTGTGGACAACCAACAACACACAAATATTTATGTACCAGTAGAACACGGTAATGAAAAAAATACTTCAATTAATCATAAAAATTACCTTATATGTTATTCCTTTGTGTGAATCTTGATTGTGCTCTGTGACAGCATTTTTGTCCAATTTTTTCTTCTTCAAAACGTTGACTTTGGCTCCTTCTTTTTTGGTCAATTTTTTCCTTTTTTTCGTCGGCATTTCAACAGAGAAGTCGTCTTCTTCCAAATTTTCTTCGCTTCCGGAATCGTCTGGTTGGCTTTGACACTCGAAATCAGGGTCTTCATCGCTCAGAACTCGTATCTGCTTCTCCTGTTTACGATGTGAACGAGTTTTTTCCGGTTTGTTTGGGCTTGACTGAAAATCGTCTGAACTGGTAGAAGCCACCGGATTTTTCATTCACGCCTTGGCGTTTAAATTGCGATTAGGTTTAGGGTTCAATTTTTTCTCGAAAACCAGTTTCTTTTGTACGAGCTTTGTTTGTTTTTTTTGGAGGATTTTACGGATACGGGCACTAGATCTTAAGACCGGTGAATCGTCGCCAACATCTGCCGGATCTCTTCGATTAGTATGAGGGATCTTTGTTTTGGCCATTGATTCTTGGAGTAGGCGAAAAAAAAAAATGGGGCGGTTTCAGAACAAAAAAAATGGGGGAGAAGGTGAGGGTTTAATTTCACCTTGTTTTGTCCATCCGTTTTGGTGTAAGATAATTAAAAATCCCGTAATTATCTCCTTAGCATTAAAATCATGTAATTAAGTGTTAAGTTTTGGTTTTAGGTATATTTGATAATTTTTTAGCTTATTTAGATGAAAATAAAAATAAGTATATTTATACTTGAAAAGTGTAATAAAATTTAAAGGACAATGTAAGGGGTGTAATTTCCTCTAAGTACAACAATTAAAAGTGAATTGGGCCTTTGACATATTTTGATGTTTGTGCATTGGGCTTTGAGTTAGCATAATGGGCTTTAATAAAAAAAATTCATAATAGACATCTACAGTTTCGTCCATATTTTCGATTTACCAAATGCTTATTTGACAAACTACTAAATGAATCTGCTAGCGAACTCAATTATTATTATAATCAGCTACCTGCTAATACGATCAGTTATCAGCTATCCGCTAGTAGTCAAATTAAGGCTGACATTAAATCCATTAACCCAAGCAAACCATTCATTTATTCTATTTATTATAAAATATAGGACTTTATGGTTATACAATACAATGTGTAACTAAAAACATAAGCTTCATTAACATGTAATTTCTCATTAATTTAACCAGTGGTATTACCAACAGTACATTCAAGAGGAAGGCCTTGGGCAAAACGCTTTGTATCGGCACAATAATTGTAAACCATGTAATTTTGTTGCACCCATTTAAGCCTGGCTTCACTTGCTGAATCAAGTTCTTGAGAAAACCAAGGACTTGTACTACTGTTACTGCTGGGTCCAGATGGGCTGCATGAAGATTTTGTAGATTTCAGAACACATGCATGGGCCTGAAAGTTGCGTAGGCTAGCGGTGAATGGTGCTTGAGCCCAGTCTATTTTGATGAGCCCACCTCTTGTGGCCCAATCATCTGCATTCCACAGGCTTGAATACACTCTCATTGGTTGATCTTTTGGGAATGGAATTCCTTTGGATTCAAGGTTCTTGAATACTCTGATTGGCGTACCATCCACGTAAAAACTTGAAAAAGTTGGAGCAAAAGGAAGTCAATATATCTTAAAAAAACGAGATTTTGTTAATAGTGTAATAATAGAATGAGTTTGGCAAAATCCATTGGATATGTAATATTGTTGGAAAATTGAAATGTGAGTTTGGTAGACCCCACTATTTCAACATTAATTTATAAAAAAAAAATGAAAATGGTTATAAAGTAAACATATATAGTAAGCACAAAACTCAGTCTGCTAAGGCCATCTCCAACCAAATACACCATACTCAAACCCATTTTGCAGTATTTCATCTCCAATCGAAAAATTCATTCTCCAACCCAAAAGAAGATTATCGGAATATTCTCTTTTGCATCAACTTTTACAACTTTTCAATACTTTACACATATTTTACAACTTTACAAATTAAACTACAATATTATTTTCAATCCAATTTGGACTTTATGTAATAAACTAATTATAAAATTATAATCATATACATAATAAAATCGGAGAATTAAATAGTCATTAAAAACTAAAATTTAAAAATTATAACACACTATATAATATTAAATATTACAACGCAAAAAATGATAAATAAAAAAATACAACACACAAGATAAAACTAAAAATTACACCGCACAAGATGAGAAATTAAAAAAAAATTATGATGTTTTTTTTTTTGTGTGTGTTTGTTTTTTATTTTTCATGATTTAGGATGTATTTTTCATTTCTTTTTTGTATGTGTGTGTTAATTTTTATGATTTATGATGTATTTTATTTTCCGTTGTTCTATGTTATCCTTCAATATAATAACTAATTTGGTAATATTAATGTCTTTTTATTTGTTAAATTGTAGTCTTTTTAATATTAATATGGTTTGTAACTTTTTTAAAACAAAATACTTATAATATATAATAAAAACTAATATAACAATAATTACTAAATATATTTACTAAATATAATTACTAAATATAATATATATAATTAATACAATGTGTAAAATTTACTTATAAAAGATAAAACATAATTACTATATACAATATATATATATATAATAGGTAGGGTATATTGGGATAATATTACAAAAAATAAGGGTTTGGATGCAATTTCAAAAAGTACAATCGCATATTTTGCGATTAGACGCAAAATTGCGTCGGAAGAGAGGAGAGAGAAGGTGGAAACGCATTTTCCAGTTGCGTTTGCGGTACCCTTGGAGCAAATTGAACTGCAAAACTAGTTTTGCAGTTCCATTGGAGAGGTCTAAACATTGAAACAAAACGAATAGATCATTTTAGCAACACAATAAAAAAAAATCACACCAACATTTGCTGAAATTGGTAAAATAAACAATACAATAAAAAATAACTCTAACATTTGTTGAAATTACAATATTTTAATAGAAGGTGAAATTAGTAAAATATTTTGAATAATAGAAGGTTTTACTATTCTATATACAGAGAGTGATAGATCAAATAATTGGCAGTTGGATCTCGAAATTAAATTAGATCTAAAATTTGAAGCAAGTAGATGGAAAATTATAAATATACTATATGTTTAATTTTAGATGACTAATTAAATACAGAAGGATGTAAAAGAATAAGAAACATGTTTAATTTTAGATGAATAATATATAAAATATAATTATATGCTTAATTTTAAATTAATTGTTAAATATTTAGTTTATCATTATATATGACTTAGTTACGGATTGGAGAGGTATAATGTCCGAAACTTATTGCAGCCAGTATATCTGAGTGATAAGTAGAAATATTTCATCAGAAGTTGTCCAGAGTTGCCCACCAAAATTAAGAAAGTGTAAACTATATAAATTTTCCAATGACAAAGAAAATCGATCAACTGCAAAAATATGTAATATAACTTTACGTTTCAAATTATATGTATTTGACAATTTTTTATAAATTTTAATTTGTATACACATTCACTATAACTAACTATATTTCTGTATATTAATCTTGAAATTAATATTATTTTGTCAACTGGTATATGTGTTTTGGTTAATTATATTTATATATAATATAATTCGTCCGAATTGTATCATACATAACAAAAACATTTAATTTATTACTTTAGTATTTGTAACTTATCAAAGTTTTTTTTTTTTTTTT